ATAGATGGTTTTTCTTATTTTCAAAGGGATATTGCAGATTCAAGGTCAGGGATTTATGGGAGTTAATACCTTAAAGGGTACACGAGGCTGGCTTCTTGAATATGTGTGAGTGAAGGTGGCATACGATTGGTATGGGTGCGGTTTAATGTATAAATGATAGGTATGATCGTTAGTTTGGATGATGTTTATTCAAACAAATATATATACTATTGCTTGGAAACTAATTTTTTGTTCTTAAATTGACGTGATTAAGAGAGTGGGTCTCTTGTGAAGCAAACACATGAACTGCATGACAGGTGTTATGTAAAAGCACCTTGAGCAACTTATATATATAGTTTTTCATTTTATATTTTCCTTGTATCAGCCATGTGGATGATACCTGGTAACGTTCTGCTTGGGGTCTCCTGGGATATATGTTTTGGAATGTGATCAGATATGAGGGTAACAATTTTGTATTGTGTACATAATCTCTCATAATGTGTGTGTGTATATGTGATAAGAATGTGGTGTGTGTATGTTGCATAATGTTACTTGTTTGGCAATTCAGAATTATCTCATGCTATTAAGTGGAACTTTTTGTGTAATGTACTGAATATTTTTGTATCTTTGCAGTAATCAAGTAAATTGACTACCAGTTGCGTTACATATCGTTCGTTTTTGGATATTTTGTTATATATGCACTTGTTTATGTATTATGTCTTTACAAAGGTTTTATTGACATAAAATCAAACACTAAGGCATATTATTATTGATGAATAGTTTCTTTGTTTATAATGTATATAAGAGGTTTTAATTAAGTTAACGAAGAATTTGTATATTCTTGTTACCTTGGGATAGGTACATAATGAATAGGGGACTGACGAATATTTATAACCGTTCTAGTGTATATATTGACAATTGTAATTATACTTACTATGAATGTAATGATAGGTAATCCTATGATTATTTAATGTATTGTATATTTTTTAAATTATAAAAAAAAAAAAAAAAAAAAAAAAAAAAAAAAAAAATATTTCATCATATATGGTTTAGGGAAATACTAGTTGGCTTAGGTGTAAATATCGGATATGTGCTGCAGCGTACTTTATAAGGTGTATTATGTTCATGTATTATGTTTTGTATACCTGTTTAATGAAGGATGGATTTTTATATATTTAATATGTTGTTATATGACGTTTTAAATAAAATAAAAAAAAAAAAATAATAATAATAATAATAATAATTTAAATTAGGTAAGATGTAAATTTTTGTATGGATGGTTGTTCGAGTTTGTAGTTTTTTGGTTACTATATAATTGCTAGTTCGTTGCACGACACTTCAGTATTACATGAAATAGCCTATAATTAACTTTAATAAAAATCTTAAGCTATTAATTTTTATTTAACAATTGAAACACTAGAAGGTGGTGCTGCAAAAGATATGTGGAAATTTCGTCTATCCCACAAGTTTTGTGTAGTAAAGGCATTTACGGTTAATTGAAAAACGGTAGAATTTCCAGGTTATTACAGATTAGAATGAAATTTTTACGAGGCTTTGAGCACGTCAGACTTTTTCGGAATATTTTCATTCTAAATTATCTATTAAAGCTTTTGAGATTCTGTCAGGATAATTCGGGTTTTATTCTAGTTTTCAAGGCAATTTTATATTCAACTATGAAATATATATATTTTTTCGACAAAGGCCCGGTATATGTCGGCTTGAAATAGCTGACTGTGCATCCCTTGCCCTATTCGGCACTTCTTGCCGAATAGGGCAAGCGAAAATTTGTGTATGCAATAATTTCGCAAAAATCATTCTGAGTCTAACGAAAAAATAAATATTTCATTGTGTTTGTTTATTATTAAGTTATTGTAAACTTACATAAAATACATGTAGTTCGATTACGTTAAATTAAATTGCGCTTGTTATGATAAGGTTAGGTAAGTTTCCTAAGGTTCTTCTGGTACAAAATCATTAATTTTTATATTAACATAAATGAAAAAAATATATCTTTAAATGTATAAGAGAAAATTTTAGAAAGAACTTAACTTTGAATGAGTTCTTGCTAATTGACCAGTTTTACCTATTCGGCATTATATATAATATATATATATATATATATATATATATATATATATATATATATATATATATTATATATATATATTATATTATATATATATATATATATATATATATATATATAAAGTTAAGAGGGTGGTGAAGAAATGTAAAAAGAGAGCATATGAGTGGGTGAGATGTTATCAACAAATTTTGTTGAAAACAAGAAAAAATTTTTGGAGTGAGATTAATAAGCTGAGGAAGCCTCGGGAACAAATGAATTTGAAGAATTCTTTGTAAGAAGATCCATGATGCTGCAGTGTTGACAGTTAGAGGTATTGGGAAGATGGAGGGAATATTTTGACGAATTGTTAAATGTTGATGAAGATAGGGAAGCTGTGATTTCGTGTATAGGGCAAGGAGGAAAACTCCTTGTAGGAGTGAGGAAGAGCCAGTTGTGAGTGTGGGGGAAGTTCGTGAGGCAGTAGGTAAAATGAAAGAGGGTAAGGCAGCCGGGATTGATGGGATAAAGATAGAAATGTTAAAAGCAAGTGGGAATATAGTTCTGGAGTGGTTAGAGCTTTTATTTAATAAATGTGTGGAAGAGGGTAAGGTTCCTAGGGATTGGCAGAGAGCATGCATAGTTCCTTTGTATAAAGGCAAAGAGGACAAAAGAGTGCAAAAATTAAAGGGGAATAAGTCTGTTGAGTATACCTGTGTATAGTAAAGTTATTATTGAAAGAATTAAGAGTAAGACGGAGAGTAGGATAGCAGATTAACAGAGGCTTTAGGAAGGGTAGGGGGTGTGTGGACCAGGTGTTTACAGTGAAACATATAGGTGAACAGTATTTAGATAAGGGTAAAGAGGTTTCCATGGCATTTATGGATTTGAAAAATGCTTATGACAGGGCGGATAGGAGGGCGATGTGGCAGATGTATGGTATAGGAGGTAGGTTATTGAAATCAGTGAAAAGTTTTTCCGAGGAAAGTGAGGCTCAGGTTAGAGTATGCAGGAGAGAGGGTGATTATTTCCCAGTGAAAGTAGGGCTTAGACAAGAATGTGTGATGTCACCGTGGTTGTTCAATATATTTATAGATGGGGTTGTAAGAGAAGTGAATGCTCGGGTGTTGGGAAGAGGTTTGGGGTTAAAAGATAGAGAATCTAACACAAAGTGGGAGTTGTCACAGTTGCTCTTAACTGATGACACTGTGCTTTTGGGAGATTCTGAAGAGAAGCTGCAGAAGTTGGTGGATGAGTTTGGTAGGGTATGTAAAAGAAGATAATTGAAGGTGAATATAGGAAAGAGAAAGTGATGAGGATAAAAAAAAAATAGGTACAGAGAGATTGGATATCAGGTTGGAGGGAGAGAGTATGGAGGAGGTGAATGTATTCAGATATTTAGAAGTGGACGTGTCAGCAGATGGGTCTATGAAAGATGAGGTGAATCATAGAATTGAAAGGAAAAAGGTGAGTGGTGCACTGAGGAGTCTGTGGAGACAAAAAGCTTTGTCCATGGAAACAAAGAGGGGAATGTATAGGAGTATAATTATACCAACGCTCTTATATGGGTGTGAAGCATGGGTGTTGAGTGTTGCAACAAGGAGAAGGCTGGAGGCAGTGGAGATGTCGTGCCTGAGGGCAATGTGCGGTGTGAATGTAATGCAGAGAATTCGTAGTTTGGAAATTAGGAGAAGGTGCGGGATTACCAAAACTATTATCCAGAGGGTTGAGGAGGGGTTGTTGAGGTGGTTCGGACATGTAGAAAGAATGGAACAAAGTAGAATGACTTCGAGTGTGTATAAATCTGTAGTGGAGGGAAGGCGGGGTAGGGGTCGGCCTTGGAAACGTTGGAGGGAGGGGGTTAAGGAGGTTTTGTGTGTGAGGGGTTTTGAGTTCCAGCAAACATTCGTGTGTTAGATAGGAGCGAATGGAGACAAAGGGTTTTTAGGGCTTGACGTGCTGTTGGAGTGTGAACAAGGTAACGTTTATGAAGAGATTCAAGGAAACCGGCAGGCCGTACTTTAGTCCTGAAAATGGGAAGTACAGTGTTGCACTTGAAATAGGTGTTAATATTGCATATTTATAATGTTGTAGATGACTCTGACATAAACAGTGATGGAGCGAATGATGAAATTTATTTTTCGGCCACCTCATTGAGTGGAAGAGGTCGATGTTGTATAATATATATATATATATATATATATATATAATATATATATATATATATATATATATATATATATATATATGTGTGGTCAACGAAAAATATTGCAACTTCAGTCAGTCTTCTGATTCGTAAGTCAGTTCGTGACATGTTACATAAGTATGATTTCCTGCATACATTAACGCAGGATGAGTCAAAACCTAACATAATTGTTACTTCCAGATGTTAACATCATACATATATATTTCATAAGTGTGAATTTTGCTTGGTGTGTTCGTACAGTGGCAATATATACTTATTAAACCAACTTAGTTCAACTTAACCTGGCCTCAATTTATATAGAAAAATCGTAGTAGAAAGTCAATATTCACAAATAACCCGCTGGTAGGAGATAAACTTATGACGACTTTTCGATCCGACTAGAACCATTAACTAGTCACATATAAGCGTGAAGTAAAGGGAGACAGTACATCATAATATCGCAGTCACGGTATTGTGCCTTTTTATTCGTTAAGTAAGATTCGCTAGGAAACAGGACGCGGGTCTTAGTCACATGACGACCGAGCACTAAAACTTTTAATAAAAAATAATAATAATAATAATAATAATAATAATAATAATAATAATAATAACTATACTACAAGTACATGTACAAGTTATACAGGTCTAGCCGACATTAATGACATACTACTACGTAGAGGCCCCCCTTGTCATTTAGGGCAAAATTCGGTAAATTTTGTCCCAGGATGCGACCCTCACCAGTCGACTAACACCCAGGTACCCAATTTACTGATGGGTGAACATGGACAGCAGGTGTCTTATGGAAACACGTCCTAATGCTTTCAGCCGTACCGGGGATCGACCCCCAGACCTCAGTGTGTGAGCCGTGTGCGCTAGCGATCGAGGCCTTACTCTTGCTTTCCGGTTCACCCCTTCCAAAAATTAAAAATAACATTTGATGTATGGTAAAAGAAAATGCTGAGTTTTTAAAATAATCAACTGTCAACTTATAATGATATAGGTTTGCATGTTAATTATTATTATTATTATTATTATTATTATTATAATCAAAAAGAAGCGCTAAGCCACAAGGGCTATACAGTGCATGTTAATTACATGTTGAAAATTAATTATGTAATGCTAAAAAACTCATTTTCTTAAGTACAAAAGGGAACTAATTTTCGAATCCGAGGAGACTATCACCTTCAATCAAATTTTGAACTTCGATATGCAAGTCACGGGAAATGGGACTCAGAAGCCGATTTTAAAAAAAAATATGTAATTGTATTCGAAGTATTTGGTTCTCTTGAAAAGAGAATTTCAGTTTAATACGAGGAATCCGTATTAGAGAATGGAGCCTAAATGTCATTATTGAATAGCGAATGGGATTCACTATAAGTCCGTCAGCAAAAGAAATCTAGAAATGGCTTGTAAGTCGTATGGAACAAAGGCAGGTATAAAACACGGTGAACAAAAAAAATGCACTTAATTGTGAAGACAATCTGGAACAGAACAGTGTAGGAGATTGTTGGTGTATCGGGAGAGCACAACATTAACAATGGAGAACAATTAAACACAAGAGTTTGGCGTCACAGTAGAAAATGGCTATGGACTTCTGTGACGTCCTAACACCTTAATCTTAACATTTTCCACACACACACACACACACACACACACACACACACACACACACACACACACACACACAACCTCAACTAGGTGAGTACAACTAGGTGAGTACACAAATGAATATGCTCACACATACACACACAGAAATGAATATGCTCACACATACACACACACAAATGCATATAATTAGAGTAAATAACATTACCAGGAAGCATTTAGACAATATAAATTTATGTGAACAATGTACAAAGCAGCTCCAACTGTTGCCTGACTACAATAAACTTCATGGTGACTCTCATACGCCCAATTACTGACATTTGTAATGCACTTTTGTACATTATTTGGTATTTATTTGTCTAATGATTAATTATTAATGTTTACTATTAGTATTGTTATTATAGAAAGTCATAAAATCATTGTCTCCAGGTCCTCTCTTGTAAAAACTCGAATTATTTAATCTGAATATACTGTTTACGTAATATGACAGATTTGCTGGAGGTGCATGGCGACACCTTGCAATAACAGCTTGCATAATGAGTGGTGGGCATGTTTGTAATTTAGCAAATTGCAAAGTGCAGCCATCCACCCGTCCACACTTAGAGATGTCAGTTGGCGATTTGCTGTTTACAAGGAAGGATACAAGCAGTAGCTCTGTCTCCAGTAACATGGCCTCTAAACGTAAACACTTCTTCCATTGTAATTTTGGAATCTGGAATTTCTGAACATTGCTTTGTGTCTACAGTCGATGTCCATTATGTGACTCGTGTTATTATAACTATGTACATTACTGAACTCTGAATAAACAGATTATCACTCTGAACTTTGCTCAGAGTATCTCTGTACTTTGTCATGTCTGAACATAGTTTCAGAGAAGTGTCAGCACTCGGTCCTGCATGAACTTTGTGTTCTGTTTTTGGTACAGTTAGTGGAGCTGCTTGGTGCTTATTTTGATGCATCTGTCCCATATGAACCGACTGTATGCTTAAGTGGAGTGTACTATTTGCCTTGAGTATGATCGACTCGTTTTGGGTGCTGACAGTATTTAATACTATTTAGTGTGAAGTCAGTCTCAGGAAGTGGTTTGTTTCAGCATATTAAGCAGTGAGTGGCCCTAGTATTTACCAAGATTGTGGACTCAAACTATACTAGGACTGAATGGACTTTGACTGATTTGTTGGCGTTTATACACACAGTAATTTGTGATATTTTTCTTTATTGAGTTGGAATCTGCAGACTCTCATATGCTGTATGTACGTGGGGTCGTATGCAGATGAGTTGCACACACTGATACAGTGGACCCCGCATAACGATTACCTCCGAATGCGACCAATTATGTAAGTGTATTTATGTAAGTGCGTTTGTACGTGTATGTTTGGGGGTCTGAAATGGACTAATCTACTTCACAATATTCCTTATGGGAACGAATTCGGTCAGTACTGGCACCTGAACATACTTCTGGAGTGAAAAAATATCGTTAACCGGGGGTCCACTGTACTTGTGTTGATCTTAAGAGTTTTGTATGAAGTGATGCTTTTACAGGATTTAGTCTGGTGTTGGACCAAGAACAATCATAATTTAAATATTAACTTAAATTTGGTATACAGATTACAGATTAGAAATAAGTTATTTTGAACTATATTCTATCTCTCATGTAGAATGTAAATATATTTGTACTAGATGTCTTTATTCAGAAAAGATAGCATTTTATCACACACACACACACACACCTTCAAGCAGTGGGTTAGCCCTCGCCCACTGTAGCCTCAGTTTCCTGTTCTTAGATGTCAGGAGTGTAACCCAGTGTAGCACATTCACTTCAAGGTTTGACGTGTTGTGCATTCCGAGATGCTCTTTTCCATGCCACTGTTATCACTTCCCAGTGCGTCATCAGGAGCTATGTAGTGTTGCAAAGGTTTCTGTGCGAATGTGTGCGTAGTAGCATACACACAACACTGACCACATTACTCTTTCAACTATATGAAAATGAATACATTGGCTGAAGGAAGGTTAAAGGAAATTCACGTCTCAAACCTTTAAGCAAATCACTCGCCTCTTATTCCTTTGTAATAACAAAGTGGTATTCAAAAATATTTTTTTTCCTACCCTTTGCTTAACTTGATTATTATAATAAAAAAGAGGCGCTAAACCACAAGGGCCATACAGCGCTGCTTTCTTAGCTTGAAATTCATAATCACTACTTATCTTTTAACAAACACGTGAGGACCAAACTAGTCACCATGAAGTGTCAGCCGTCGGCAGATGCAGCGCTGAGCTTACATCAAAACAAACACAACAACATAAACAGTTTACTCTATTCTATATACATCACAAAATCTGTAAATGTCAGGTCGAAAAATTTTTGACGCTCTTCAGTCTGAAGATTACATCAACTCAATTTTCTGTAACTGGAGAATATTTCACATTAATATAGTAGAGTCGACAATGGTTTAATTGAGAGATGATGCAGAAGATGTTACTTCCTGTGAGTCCATGCTGAGCGATTGGTCGGCAGGACGTCACCTTCTGTGGTTCCTGGATGGGTGCTCGGCCGTGATGGCGTCAGAGGAAGTGACATCAGATGGATTGAGAATAGCGACTTCACAATGCAACATAGCGTTAATATTGTAGGCGATTGTGCTGTCCTGGCTACATGCCTCCGTAAACTCGTCCAGAGTTATAACGCCATCTTTGTTCAGATCCAGAGTCTGTCGGAAGGGGGAGAACATCAGTGAAACCATTAAAAATTTTTAAAACCTACTTCATGTGATAAAAAGAACCCATCCATTGTTAATCCAGTAATCTTTCTAGGTTCACTATCTCTTTTAGCTTCGTGAGCGCTGTCATACGTATTCGTAAAGCAACGTATGGATCCGGACACTACCATATCGCTATCCAGGTCGTACACATTCGTAACTACTCTTAGGCTGAAGAAATGTGTCCTTACATCCCTATAACTCGCCTGTGTATTTAATTTCAAGCTGTGCACACTTGTACATGTTTCCCGCCTTGTAGTATATCCAAACAATTCTCCAGTATTTTGTATGTCGTTTTTATGTCTCCCTGGTCCTTCTGTCCATTGTCATTATATTTAGCTTCTTTAATCTCTCGTCATTATTCACAAGCTTTAGCTCAGGGACTAGTTTCGTTGCAAATCTCCTGCACCTTTTAAAGCTTTTTGATATGAGCGATCAGGTGTGGGATCCATGCTTGTGCTACATACTCCAGTATGGGCCTGACATGCGGGATATAGTGTAGTTAATGACTTGAGATTCATGTCAGCTAATCTAAAATTTTCCTGCAGCACATTTGTTACAGAAGTGTGTGTGTGTGTGTGTGTGTGTGTGTGTGTGTGTGTGTGTGTGTGTGTGTGCGCTCACCTATTTGTGGTTGCAGGGGTCGATTCATAGCTCCTGGCCCCGCCTCTTCACTGATTGCTACTGGGTCTTCTCTCTCCCTGCTCCATGAGCTTTATCGAACCTCGTCTTAAAACTATGTATGGTTCCTGCCTCCACTACGTCACTTTCTAGGCTATTCCACTGCCTGACAACTCTGAATGAGGAAATACTTCCTAACATCCCTTTGACTCATCTGAGTCTTCAGCTTCCAATTGTGACCTCTTGTTTCTGTGCCCCATCTCTAGAACATCTGTCTTTGTCCACCTTGTCTATTCCGGTAGTATTTTATGTTATGTCTCCCCTGACCCTCCTGTCCTCCAGTGTCGTCAGGCCGATTTCCCTTAACCTTTCTTCGTAGGACATTCCCCTTGTGTGTGTGGTGTGTGTGTTGTGTGTGTGTGTGGTGGGTGCTGTGTGGTGTGTGTGTGTTTGTTGTTATATAGGGACACATGGTAGCCAGGATCACTATAATCGGGTAGTCGTCAACAGGAATTCACTGTAGGTAGGAGCTCATCATAAACATGGACTCACCGTAAAGAGGGACTTACCATAAGCAGGGACTCACTATAAACAGGGATTAACAGTAAACAAGGACTCACCATAAACAAGGACTCACCATAAACAAGGACTCACCATAAACAAGGACTACCCTAAACAAGGACTAACCATAAACAAGGACTAACCATAAACAAGGACTAACCATAAACAAGGACTCAGTAAACGGGGACTTACCGTAAACGGGGACTCGTCACAAACAGGTTCTCACTGTAAACAGGGACTCACCATAAACAAGGACTCACAGTAAACAAGGACTCACAGTAAACAGGGACTCACCGTAAACAGGGACTCAACCTTCTGAGCTACAGTCTTCTCGTCTACGGGAGCGTCCGTGTGCTTGCCCATGAGGTCATACACAGCCTGCACCACGTCCGTCATCTCCTGCCTGGTGATGCAGCCGTCACCGTTCAGGTCGTAGAGGGAGAAAATCCACTTGAGTCTATCGTTGAGGGAGCCTCGTCGAGAGACGAGATAGCAGGGTGATGAAATCCTGTAAATGGAATAAGTAAAACTTGCGATTTTGGTTTAAACAGCAACTCTTCTTGCAGAATAGGGCAAGCGAAAATTTGTGAATGCAATAATTTCGCAAAAATCATTCTGAACCTAACGAAAAAAAAATATTTCATTGTGTTTGTTTATAATTAAATTATTATAAACTTATATAAAATATATTTAGTTGTATTAGGCTAAATTAATTTGAGCTTGTTAAAATAAGGTTAGGTAAGTTTCTGAGAGGGTGTGTGGACCAAGTGTTTGCAGTGAAACATACAAGTGAACAATATTTAGATAAGGGTAAAGAGGTCTTTGTGGCATTTATGGATTTGGATAAGGCGTAAGACAGGGTGGATAGGGAGGCAATGTGGCAGATGTTGCAAATATGTGGAATAGGAGGTAGGTTATTGAAAGCAGTGAAAAGATTTTACGAAGATAGTGAGGCTCAGGTTAGAGTATGCAGGAGAGAGTGAGATTATTTCCCAGTAAAAGTAGGCCTTAGACAAGAATGTGTGATGTCACCATGGTTGTTCAGTGTATTTATAGATGGGGTTGTAAGAGAAGTGAATGCTCGGGTGTTGGCTTGAGGTGTGGGGTTATAAGATAATCTAACACAAAGTGGGAGTTGTCACAGTTGGTCTTTGCTGATGACACTGTGCTTTTGGGAGATTCTGAAGAGAAGTTGCAAAGGTTGGTTGATGAGTTTGGTAGGGTATGTAAAAGAAGGAAGTTAAAAGTGAATATGGGAAAGAGTAAAGTGATGAGGATAACAAAAAAAAATTAGGTAATGAAAGATTGGATATCAGATTAGAAAGAGTTTGGAGGAGGTGAATGTATTCAGATATTTAGGAGTGGGCGTATCAGCAGATGAGTCCATGAAAGACGAGGTGAATCATGGAATTGACGAAAGGAAAAAGGTGTTTGGTGCAATGAGGAGTCTGTGGATACAAACAGCTTTGTCCATGGAAGCAAAGAGGGGAATGTATGAGAGTATAGTTATATCAACGCTCTTATATGGGTGTGAAGCATGGGTGGTGAATGTTGCAACAAGGAGAAGGCTGGAGGCAGTGGAGATATCATATCTGAAGGCAATGTGTGGTGTGAATATAATGCAGAGAATTCGATGTTTGGAAACTAGGGGGAGGTACAGGATTACCAAAACAATTATCCAGAGGGTTGAAGAGGGGTTGTTGAGGTGGTTCGGACATGTAGAGAGGATGGAGCAAAATGGAACGACTTCGAGAGTGTATATATCTGTAATGGAGGGAAGGCGGGGAAGAGGTCGGCCTTGGAAAGGTTGGGGGAGGGGATAAAGGAGGTTTTGTGTGCGAGGGGTTTTGACTTCCAGCAAGCATGCGTGAGCGTGTTAAGATGGAAGTGAATGGAGACAAATGGCGTTTAGGATTTGACGTGCCGTTGGAGTGTGAGCAAGGTAACATTTATGAAGGGATTCAAGGAAACCGGCAGGCCGGCTTGAGTCCTGGAGATGGGAAGTACAGTGCCTGCACTCTGAAGGAGGGTGTTAATGTTGCAGTTTTATAACTGTAGTGTAAGTGCGGCTCTGGCAAGACAGTGATGGAGTGAATGATGGTGAATTTTTTTCTTTTTCGGGCCACCCTGCCTTGGTGGGAAACTGGGAGACGGCCGATTTGTATAATAATAATAATAATAATAATAAATAATAATAATAATAATAATAAATATAATAATAATTAATGTACTCGTTATTTAACACCTTATAACAACCATTCACCTCAATAATATACTAATTCATTTCTTTACTAGACTTCAACAATTTTTATGTAAAGCAATATAATATTCCTACAGTGAGAGATCTCAATCATTCTGACACTAAAGTCGCATCAACTTTTTCACTACAGTTTGCTCGGTAGTTGAGTGCCCTGCTCACATTCGAACGTATCCGGGTTAGACTCCCAGGTGGATGAGAAGTATGTTCGGGTCGATTACAGTGATCGACTAAATTAAACACATTATCATAGCTTTAAACACATTTTTGTGAAGTCGTTTTAAACGCGGCTTCTTAATCTGCTCGTATATATTTTTCCCCAGTACTTGTAGTTTTTTAAATATACCGGTTTTATTATATTAATTTTAAGATTTACGACATAATAAATCGCATATTAGGATAAAATCGACAGTGGTGGGTGACATGCTGGGTAAGGTAGGTTGCATTAACAGGGCTAAGTATTGATCAATGGATAACAGCTGTTGGTAAGTACATCTGTATGAAGAGAATATGGATAACATCTTACCTCGAAATTGATGACTCCCGTGTTCTCCTTATCGAGGTTGTTGAAGACGTAATGTGGGTACTTACTGGAACTTGCTGCGGAAGTAAACATCAGATCAGCTAAAGTGATAGTGACTCGATAGGTCAATAGTATTAGCTGACTACACTAATTGCAAAAAAATCTGTTTTAAAAATCCATTGTTACTTAAGTCAAAATCACTATCTGACAATTTGAAATTCATCTGAGCCATATTACAATACACCGTCCACTGCCTCTTACCCAGTGTACATCCGTGTGACCCTGAAAAAATGGAATGTGATGAAATAATCGTGACCTGGACCAAAATTCGTTTGGACAATGGGGTGAATCAGTTAAAATATAGTCATTATTGCCGTGGGGTTGTCCAGCGGTTATGTATCAGTCTGGTGACACACACAAGTCGAAGAAGATACTTTTATGTGAATTAATGTCTAGTATTTTTGTCTTCATAGGTGTCAGCACTAGACCATTTTCTGCATCAACCTGGTGTTTACCAGACAAGAATTCGTCTCCCGAGGGCGAAGGAAGGTTGTTAAAATCCTGAGCTCATTCATGCATCTTCAAAGGTTCTGCGAAGCTGTCTGTATGAACATAAAAGCATCCATCTTTCCTTATTCTTATATTTTTCACTGTTTGTTTTAACATAATAGCAATTACTATTCGTTTCTTTCAGGTTACTGACTGACGAAATGGAAATGACATGATGTCACGACACTGTACAGTGGAATGTACAGGCATGTACTCACTTTATTAAGTGTGGTTGCAAGGGTCGAGTCTCAACTCCTGGCCCTGTCTCACAGTCAGCCGCTACTGGTTTCACTCCTGCCTGCGCGAACCCTATCATACCAATTATTGAAGCTATATATGGATTCTGCCTCAATCACTTCGCTGTCTAGGTCGTTCCTGACCACTTTAAGGCTAAAGAAATATCTCCTTATATCCCTGTGAATAATCTGTTCTTAAGCAGACTCACTTTGTCCTCCCTACCAGTGCCTTTGAGCACTTTGTGCGTCGTAACCATGTCACCTCTCGTCCTTCTGTCCTCTAGTGTCGTTAGGTTTAGTTCCTCTAGCCTTTCCTCATAGTTCGTAACCTTCAACTCTGGACTAGTTTCGTTGCAAACCTTTGCCCCCCTTTTCCATTATTATTATTATAATAAAAAAGAAGCGCTAAACCACAAGGGTTCTTTACATGCTTTACCAGATGTGAGTTCCATACTGACTCTGCAGACTCCAAGCTGAGCCTGACATATGCCGTATATAAGGTCATGAATGCAACGTTGTTGATGTCATGACAGATACCATTAATTTTTTTCTTTTTTTTTATATTTTATTGAGAGCACATATTGTACAGACAAAATACATATATATAGTATAACACTGTGGAGAACAATAAGTATATACATAAATTATCACACACGCACACGTTGTTGGACACAGGAGAATCAACCCGTCACAGACAAAAAAAAAAAAAAAAAAAAGAGCATCACGCACACTATACATCACTCAAGCCTCCTATCAGTATACATAAGAAAAGCACATGAAATTATCACACCATACTCATGTAGGTGTAAGTACAAGAAACAGCACACACATATTGTAAAAGAAACGCACATTCCTAATAAAAAAAAAAACTCTTTCTTGGGAGTAAGTCTTACAGAAGTATCTGTATCCGCCGGAGGTACACACACCTCCGCGAAATAAACTGGCCACAATTACTAAATTATCATATTGTTGTACACATACATAGATATATCATGCATAGTAAAGACTATCAACAAATCAAGTTCACATCACAGGCTTCCATAACCTAATGCGAACACAAATAAAAACTACTCTATCACAACCTTTTCACTGCACAAAAGTCAACGTCCAAAGCAAAGGTGTATACAAGAGACACTAGCAAGTTGCAAATTCAGTCTCTCCAACACTCCTTACCCCCCCTCTCCCCCCCCCATTTGGGCAACCGCCCACTTTCATCATTACACATGACCCTGTCACACAGTCTTCTAGCCGTACATGAGCATATAACCTGTCACAGCGCGACAGTTTCACAATCACTATGATCCTCACCCAAGCATCCTTACAGCATACATTACCTCTAAAAAAATATACACCTCCACCCTCTAATATATGTGTGATGGTAAGTGACCAAACAAGTGCAAGGCCATATATACATACAGAGTAATGCAATCATCCCGTGGGACACGTATGCAAAAGTATAAACCGATAATCCCCACACCCAAACTGGATGGCACTTTTATTCCGGCTGTCATCACACTTACATTCTAACACCTACTAACCACGCTGTATCATCCCTTGTTCACGTCTAAGCCCATACCACACACACACACACACACACACACACTCCCGGTGGCGAGCCCACTGGAACCCCGGATGACAGTCCCAATCCTTGCCCCAGCCAAACCCCCCCCCCACTACAAAGCTAGTAAGATCCCAACAGTTAAACCACGATAACCTGCGGGGAAGGCTCCCTCACACCGCGATCCATATATTTCCCTATCCCTGCAAACTGTCCTATAGAAAGTAGCTGCCATTACCGGTTTCCTCCTCGCAACCCAATCCCCATTCCCACGCATACCCCACAACACGTACTCAAAATCTACCATTAAATATGCCAATGCTCATTGCGTACTCTCTGGCACCCCTCCCACATCCAAAACGAGCGCTCTCAACACCGGTATGCCCCCCTCCCACTTGTCTCACTAGCCTACTCATCCAATCCCAAACATTCCCCAAACATTCGCAAAAATACACATGCCGTATCCTCTCCACCACACACCCACTCTCCTACACTACTCGTCTCACCCGTAGAACCGCTCCTGACGGCAAAATGCCATGCAGGAAACTGAACATAACCTCCCACACCCGAGGCCTGGGCTTCAACTTATGAAAACGACACCAAATATCTCCTCATCCATACATGGGGTATATTCCCTCCACCGGCACCCCCCCGGCTCCTAATCACTCTCCCAAAACCCCCCCACGGGCTTGCCGGGCTCCCGTGGGCCATGGGGTTTTCGCACCCCCTCACATTCCCCAACTCTCACCCCAATACCACCTTTTACTCCCTCATACAGAATTTTAACCCCCCCTTACACCCCCCACTGAACATACCCCCTTTGAAAGTAAAAAATTTTCCCCCCCCAAATCCCCACAGACCCAAAAACCCCAAACCCCCTACTTTCCCGACAGCATTATCACCTCCCTCCTCACCAATCAACCCGGGAACCCCCATAAAACTTAAACCCCTCTTTAAATTCGAAATTTCCCTTTCCCCTTTAAAGGGTAAACGCCGCCCCCCAAAAAACCTTACTGTATAAAAGTATTTCCCAGATGGCCCTCTGAAAAAAAATTCAATCTCCCAATCTAGCTGCACCCGTTCCACAATACCCGGAGTTCCCCTCTCTCCGCACTTGATCCTCCAAAAACACTCCCACATATCTTTAAGCTATCTACTACCCTCCACACCAATCCCAATTTCCCCCTCCCATTTCCCAATTTTCCCACCCGAAATAACATGATTTCTCCAATATCATCCCCTCCTCCCCAAAAGTACAAATGACCTCTCCCCCCCTCTCAAACTCTTCCCCTCCCCCGGTACCGTCATGTCGTCAAACTTTCCCAACCCCCCGCCCACCCCCCACCCCCCCCTGTCCCCCCCCCCCTACAGATAGTGCCTCAAGGGTCTAAAAAGGTCCAAAACACAGGAAAACAAATTTAGAAAGTGGACAACTTGCCGGGGCCCCGCCCCATAATACTGCCCCCCTATACCCCATTGTTTTTCCCAACACACCTTCCCCCTAAAATACAAGTTCCACCCTTCCACAACTTCCCCCCCCAAATCCCTGTTTGAAAAGGGATCCCCGCGTGCCCCCCGTTCCACACGGTCATTTTTCCCTGCCAACCCAAAGCAAGAAACCCCCCCCTTTTTTCCCCAAAAAAACCCCTCCAAAAACCCCCCTAAACGCGGGGCCCCTCACATAGATCTGCCAGGAACCCGTATTCCCCTTGATAACACGCCCCCGACCATTAGGCATTCCCCAGTATTTTTGCAAAAAATTTATAATCCCACTGTAAAGAAATTGCCGATAATCCTTTGGGGTATTTGGACTCCCCCTTTCAGACCAGAACAACTACCTGTGGCTTTAATTCCCCAACCCCCCCCCTTCTCCTTCATGATACTTTAAACCCCACCGGGAATCCCTCATCAATTACAATTCTGCAGGTAAATTCACGGGCAATCCATCACCCGAGCCCTTTTCCCTACCAACTCCCAAGCCCCCCAAAAACCCCGCCCTCATCTATCTCCCCACCCCCGTGCTACTTTACACTATGCCCAATGAACAGCACAGCTCACAGACACTACGCAAAGCTCACCTCCACCCACTACTCCCCCCAAATATGCTCATACCATGCTCCCATAACCACCATCCCCTCTGTCCCTCCGAACACTTGCCCCTCCCCAAACCCCCCCCCCCTTCAGAGGGGATAACCTATTAAAACCCCATGGCTTTCCCACGGGGCGCTGAAACCCCTAAAACACACGCAGACGGTCGATCGCCCCACAACCCCCTCAAAACCCCCCCTGCACACTCCCGCATTAAACCTTTTTTTTGGGTATGCCCCCCCCTTTTAACTTTCCCCCCCAACTCCTCCCAGGGTATTCCCCGGGCCCCCTCTTCTGTACAATCCCCCAACCTACCCTTAGGTACGAAGGACCCATACTTGCTGCATATGCGTTTCCCTTCCCTCACATAAAAAGATTATTCTCCCTTGCCCCCCCTCCCACCACCCCAGCAAATCCTCTAACACCGCCTTTCCTCATTAGCTCTGCCCACAATGCCCCGAAGCCCCCCGCCCCCCATCACCCCCAAAACCTCTTATTTAGTTTCCAATAGCTCTTGCACCCCTGGCCAGCCTCCCCCCCCAGGTCAATCACAACCACCCCCAGATCAAATTTCCCCCCCACCCTTTTTCGGGACTCACTCTCCCCTGTGTTTTGGTACACCCGATCTAGCCTCGCCCAATCCAGT